GTGATGGTCATCTCTGGCAGGGGATTCAACAAGCATACAGTAGGATCCGTAAAAAGAAGGTTCAAGCAACTTATTAAAGACAACTCTGACATATATTCAACACTAGATAAGTTTCGAGGAGGCTCTCATTCCCTCGATATCTATAGGGAGAAACTTCCGGGTGGAGCCCCCAACTCAACTATCCCACTGCTCGTGCAGGCTCGCATGGCAAACTTTGTTGTTCGGCACATACTAGTCGATCAAGGGAGCTCGACAGACATCATGTACACCCAGTTGTTTGCTAACCTATAACTAAATGAAAGCCAGCCGACCCCATACGTGGGCTCATACCTCCAAGGTTTCAACAGGGCCAATACCAAACCCTGGGGGTATGTCGAGCTGATCGTCACCTTCGGAAGAGGGGTGACTACCAAAGCCATCAAGACTCAGTTTTTGGTAGTAGATTGTCCGTCTCTCTATCAATGTATCTTTGGGAGGCCCACTTTGTTTGAATTGATTGCGGTTCCCTCCACCGTACACCTCAAAATGAAATAGTACATTGTAGAAGGTTTAGTCCCCACCCTCCACGGGGATGTCCAGGAGAAAAGAAGATGTTTTGAAGCCTTGGCCAGGGGCCTGAGTTCCATCAACGCTCAACCCCGAATGACCACTAGGGCCACCCATCTCTCCAGCTCCGAGAAGGCCAAGCCACTGCCAAGGGTCGACACCATCGACCTCGATATCCGCTTCTCCAAGGAGGATGTCGCAGAGAAGAGGAGGAAAGGGAAAGAGCCCATGGTTGAAGATGAAGGTTCATCCCTAACTGCAAGTAGCGAGGAACACTCAGGTCCCGTATGACCAATTCCAGACAGAGAGTTCGAGATCATCCCCCTCGGGAAAGATCCCTCCAAAGGAGTAAAGATCGGAGTTGACCTCCCCGACTTGGCGAAAAGGCAACTTAAAGCTTGCTTGAGGGAGAATGTTGATCTATTTGCATGGAGCGTGGCTGAGATGCCTGAATTGGACCCAAAGATTGCATGCCATCACCTGAGCATAGACCCTACCCTCAAGGCGGTCGCCCAACGCAGAAAAAAGCAGTCCCCCGAAAAAACAGAGGTTGTCGAACTAGCTGTAAAAGACCTCCTAGAGGCACACTTTATTTCTGAAGCCCAATACATAATCTGGATCTTGAATGTAGTTCTTGTAAAGAAATCTAATGGAAAATAGCGCATGTGCATTGATTATACCGACCTCAATTGGGCTTTGCCCGAATGATGCTTATCCCCTCCCTAATATTGACAAACTGGTCGATAACTCGATCGATTTCAAATTATTATTTTATAGATACATATTCTGGATACAACCAGATTCCAATGGCAAAACGAGAAAAAATATATTGCTTTCATGACCGAGTCAGGTAACTATTACTATAACTTAATGCCCTTCAGCCTGAAAAACACGGACACTATATATCAACGCATGATGAACAAAGTCTTCCGCAACGAAATAGGCGACATGCTCGAAGTCTACATGGACGACATGATCGTCAAACCGATGGAAGAAATCAACCATGCCTTCCACTTGATGAAAGTTTTCGAGTAGGCCAGAAAGTGTCAGATGCGATTTAACCTAGAAAAATGCACCTTTAGCGTACGGGCAGAAAAATTCCTCAGATTCTCCTCATAAAATGAGGGATTAAGGAAAACCTCGACAAATGCCGAGCATTTTCTGAGTTTCCAACACCCCCTTCAAAAAAGTCCATTCAAATCCTGAACGGCATGCTCACTTCTCTCTCTCTCTCTCTCTCTCTCTCTCTCTCTCTCTCTCTCTCTCTCTCTCTCTCTCTCTCTCTCTCTCTCTCTCTCTCTCTCTCTCTCTCTCTCTCTCTCTCTCTCTATTCGTGGCAAAATCCGCCCAGCATGCGCTCCCCCTCTTCCAACTCCTCTACAAGGAAGCTGCCTTCGAATGGATGGCCGAATGCGAGCGAGTTCTCACCCACTTAAATCAAGCACTATCACAACCGTTCGTACTTTCTCGACCAGAGAAGGATGAAATCCTCTATCTCTATCTAGCCTTCACCTCCGAGGCAATAAGCGCAACACTAATCAGAGAAATCCTAGAAGGGAAGAGACTTATATACTTTACGAGCAAGGCCCTATAGAGCCTGAAAGTAAGATATCAGCCAATTGAAAAGGTGGCCATAGCCCTCATCAATGCGGCGAGGAGACTTAGGCACTATTTCTCGGTGCATATTATAGTCATCCGAACAAATTAACCAATAAAGTAGCTTCTCGGTAGGCCTAACATGGAGGGCATAATGTTGAAATGGTCGTTAGAACTCTCTAAGTTCGACATCCAATATGACGGTGCGCGTCGATGGAAAAACATTGTCGACGGTGCCTCCAGTTCGACAGGAAGTTGCACATGCATTATAATGGAAAATGAAGAAGGAATCCTAATCGAGGTCTCCCTTGCATTATCCTTCCCGACCTCGAATGACTAGGCTGAATATGAGGCATTCCTAGCAGGTTTACATCTAGCCGAAGACCTAGGAGTCGAGGAGGTGAAAATCTTTACCGACTCTCAGCTTGGTTCATCCTAGGTTCAGGGAGAATATCAGGTGAAAAACGATCACCTCGCTGAGTATTGGGCCCGGGTCCAAGAGAGAGAAAATAAATTCAAATCCATGGACGTACAACATATTCCATGCGAACATAATACCCAGACAGACACCTTGTCCAAACTAGCAAGCACAAAGAGGAAATGGGGGAACAAGTCAGTGATACATGAAATTCTTCCTCGACCGAGCACACAAAGACCCCCCTCAACTTTGGGAATATTCGCCATAGGAGACGACGACTACTGGATGACCCCAATATATAAATACCTAACAAGAGAAGAGTTGCTTGAAGACTCAAAGGAAGCGGCAGTGGTTTAGTGAAGAGCCTGTTCCTATGTCTTAGTCGAAGGCAAGCTTTACATGAGAGGGTTTTCCATCCCCCTCCTCAAATGTGTCTACCAAAGTGAAGCGGATCACATTCTGCTCAAGATCCATGAAGGGGTAAATGGCCAACATCTGGGCGGAAGATCCATCTCCAGAAAAGCTTTGCGAGCGGGGTATTACTGGCCCACCATGCAACACGATGCAAAAGAGCATGTAAAGAAATGCGACAAATGCTAGTGGCACAGGGACATGCACCTGGCTCCCCCAAGTGAGCTCAGGTCCCTCTCTTCTCCCTGGCCCTTCACTTGGTGGGAGTTAGACCTCCTCAATCCGTTTATGGTAGGTACAAATAAAAACAAATATTTGATAGTAGCTGTCGACGACTTAACCAAATGGATAAAGGTAAAAGCATTGGCCAAAATTAGTGCCCAAAACGTCATTCGCTTCTACAAAAGAAACATCCTTTCTCGGTTCGACATCCCACAAGCAATAGTCATCAACAACGATACTCAACTCACGGACCAGACCTTTCAGGAATTCGTTGCCAAGTTAGGTACCAACCAACACTTCGCCTCTATCAAACATCCCTAAACGAATGCCAGACCGAGTCTGTGAACAGGGTGATACTCAAGGGTCTCAAATGAAGGTTAGAAGAAACCAAGAAAGGATGGATATAGTAGCTACGCAGTGTACTCTAGGGGTACCAAACAACAACGCACTCGTCAATCAGGGAGACTCCTTTTAGACTAACTTACGGAACATAGGTCGTCATTCCCGTAGAGATCGAAGAACCCTTCATACGAACTGAAGCTCCCCAGATGAGGAGATGAGCAACCTCGCCTTACAGGAAGAACTAGGCATGGTCGAAGAGATCCGAACAAGAGCGGCCCTATGAGAGGCCTCTCTCAAACAAAAAAATAGCCATGCTCTACGACATCAAAGTTGTACGACGAGAGTTTGAGGTCGACAATCTTGTCTTAAAGAGAAATTGCAAAGAATCTCGCAAAGGCAAGCTCGCGGCAAACTGAGAAGGCCCCTATCACGTCTGCGCAAAAATAGGTACCGGAGCGTACTACTTAGAAAATCTACGAGGGGAACAACTTTCTCGACCATGAAGTGCTAAAAAGCTAAACAATATTAAAGTTAAAACACTGAGAAATCAGAAAGCTTCGTCAATAAGACAAACTCATTCAGGCCCGACCACGTGTGCATGCCTAGGTACAAGCATTGCATCCAAAATATTTTAAAGGGGCGAGACTTCACTCTTTTAATGATCGTGTCCTTAGCCCGACGTGAATAACTCGACCGAGATCCATCGTCCTTGTACCACGACGGTAGAACACTCAGCTTATAATGGGAAGTTCATGTCGCCGAGCTCAGATCCTCGAAACGAGACCTGAGTTCTGACCCATGCCTAGTATTCACCCTGGCCATTTGTCTAGTTTCCCCACACTGGAAAACATACAAATCAAACAAGAAAATCCCCGCTATAAACTCTTAGCAAAATAAAATATGTCTCAAGCATACGAGCATAACAATGAACATGCAAACACGAGTCAAATATTTGGAACAAACGACCACCATGGCCGGAAAATTAAAATATATGACCGCCAGGGCCGCTATTATACAAATATTACAACAAGGGAGTTATCTGCAGAACAAACAACAAATCAGAGTTAGCAAACGAGAACTTAAAAATGTTGACCATATATAATTATTTAAAACATAAAGCTAAATACCCAAGTATTTAACGGGGTCCTCGCTCTCGAGGAGCTCCTTAACGGCTATCACACTGGGCTCACACACGATCTTCCTGTTCTTATCTGTGACTGGCTTTCCTCCCCGGCCTACACGCTGGATGCGAGGAATCTGCATGACAAAAGCGGTCAAAACGATGAATGTCGTTTGGTCCTTGTCAACAAACTCCCCCTCCTTCCACATGAAGGAACCCAACTTGTTGTCAAAATGCTTCCTCGTCTACTGAAAAGGGAACTTGTAGACCAACTTACTCACATGTTCCCCCAACTCGTTCAAGACAGAGGCCCCATTCTTATCATATTTTGGAGTAGCCCGAAAAATGTTCAGCATTGCCCTGCTCGAAAGAGGCTGCACAAGAATATACTTGTCCTTGAAGTGTCGAACAGATTCCAGGTAAGCTTTAAACAGCTTCCCATTGCCCTGCTTCAAGATGACCCATCTCCACTTGTCGTCAACCTTGCTCCTCTGAAGATAGAAACAATAAAAGAACAAAGGAATGGGGGCCTTTATCTTCAAATAATCACAGACAATCTTGAATGCTCGCATAAAGCATACCCCATTCGAATGCAGCTGAGAAGGAGCCAGTCGAAAGTGCCTGAAAACGGCCACCTGGAAATCCGAGAAGGGAAGTCGAAGGCCAATATCCTAAAACACAATGTCATATATGGGGATTAGCTGCTTATCGTATTTTAAGCAGACGCAACTATCTTTCCCGGGTTCCAAAGCGACCACTCCCCCAGGCCCCCCGTCGTCGTACGCATACACTTCAGTAAAAACCGCATCCTGGTACTCGAAGAAGTAGGAGATCCAATACCAAGGATCCTCCATGACCCAGGTCTACGGTTCCTCGTCATCCTCAGGCGCGAACAGGACACCCTGATCAGCGGGGGCCATATCCACATCCTCTCTCCCTACTTGTTGATCGGACCCGTTCGGCTCGTCCCCAGATATCTCCAAGATTCTCGATGTGCTACAAGTCTTGTCCGTAGAACTCTGGGAAGATCCGGCCCGTCCACCTGAAAGATCGTCTTCGACATCATCAGTCATAGTACCTGAAAAGCAGAGGATAGAGATGAGTTCGACATCAATGCCAAAATCATCCTTCCACCACTAATCAAGTGAAAGGACACTGATAAACAAGGACCATATCCCCGACCACAACCCTCATTAAGGCATCTGAACAAACAAATGCTTTTACCAACAAGACAAACTCCAGTCAACAAAAACGACCTAAATCCTCAAGGATCATCTACGGCACGTCACGAAAATTCAGGGAGGATCCACGGCGGCTCCGGTGATTCTAAACTACATAACCACCATCTGCCACCAACACTCCCCGAGAACGCCCTAACAAACAGGATCCTAAGCTTAATCGCATGCATTTCTAAGAGGAAAATCGTAAAAATCTAGGCTACAACAGCTAAATAACAACGACAATATGGAATCTTATCAATTAAAGAAGGAAGGGAGTTGAAAGGAACAACGGTGAATAATTAATCTTCAAGAAACAGCAGCGATCGACATGCGAGCAATAACGAGCAATGCGAGAGAAGAGAGAAAATGCAGAATGCCCTACTCCTCTCGTATTTAGAGCTAAACTCACTCGTGCGTGAGAGACATACACCTAGGGAACTATAGGATCGTCATAATTGCACCCTAGCCCCTAAGCCATCATTGCACCACTGCGTCAGTGCACTACCCAAAACACACAACCTCTTCAATTTTCGAAGCTCAAACGACCAACCAACCATCTCCCTGCGAGTAAGGCATAACGGGCGACGCCCATGCTCCCCGTAAGAAGCACCCATTTTCACGAGAAGGTGTTAAAGTCACCACTAATGTGCCTAGAAGTAATGACTTGGGGGGATACTGTTCTGGACTGACCCAATGGCTAGAGTGGACCCGGTCTGACCTCCTCCTTCGGCACGGCCCGTGCGACCACGACTCAGGCTTCTCCACCCTCCGTCGGGCACCATCGGTCGTTTGTCCTCTTGGACCACCACTGACCTACGACGATCGATGAGTGCTTCTCAGTCTGCCCGACCTCATGTCGGCCAGACAACCAGGAACCGACCAGACCGCTGCCCATAACCTACCTCCTCCTCGGAACTAACGGCTAGTTGCGGGCACACCTTCCCGGTTTGACCAAGTCCCGACAGTTACCTATTTTTGCGGACCCGCATATCTAGGTTCAAAATAGGAACTAATGGCCAAGCGCCAGGGGTACTATATAAACCCTCACTCATGTGAGGGCCAGGTATCGAATATTGACTATTTATTACTAACCACCTTGCAGGTTCTGATCAACCAATAAGATCAAAAACAAAATTAAATGAAATCACTACAATAATTAACTAAAACAAAGAAACTAACCAAAATAGCTGAATAAAAATGGGGTGCTAATAATGATAATAGGATGCTAAGTTAGTATAGCTAGGCCCAACACAAGAAAGCATAAACCCTAATTTGCTAAATTGGTTAACAATTCTTGCGGTTGACCAGAACCTGGAGAGTGGTCGGAGGATGATCTTCAGTCGGGCAGAGGAGAGAGGGGGTTGTACCTGCAAGGTACTCCAACGATCAAGTAAGAGTGGGAGTAAGGAGGTACAAGAAGAATATCAGGTAATGAGGAGTGAAAAATGTGATACCTGGCCCTCACAGGTGTGAGGGTTTATCTAATGCCCCTGGCGCGTGGTCGTTGGTTCCTGATTTCCCGCATAGATATACGGGTCTAGAAAACTAGGAAACCGCCAAGACTTGGTCAAACCGGGGAGATACACACGTAACTAGCCGTTGGTCCCGAGGGAGAGCTAGTTACGGGTGTCCCCCTGGTCGATTCTTAGAGGCCTGTATGACGTTGATGTCGGGCAGGTTGAGGAGATGCTCGAAGGGCATCTTGAGTTGGTGCTGGACCAGAAGGGCAAGAGGGGAGATATTATCCGACACGTGCGGGGTTGTCCTGGGTTATGGCCAGCGGTTAACGCTCATGAGATTTCCTAGACTGGACCCAATCAAACTGTCGGGCCAGTTCAGAACAACAATAATAAAAATAATTAAAAATAATTAAAAGAAAAATATATGGAAAGAGATGGTGTACCTTTTTCTAAGAGAGACCTATTCTCTCTCATTCTTAGAAAACCACGTCTACATCTTTAATTAACAAAGAAAAGAAAAAAAATAGTAAAAGAAAATAAATAAACACATATGATTCTCCCATGTGAAATAGTTCATATCACATTAACCTCAATTGTTTCTTTGACTTTTTCAAAGGGCTATTTATTATAAAAACAAAGATGATGATGATGATGATGATGATGATGATGATGATGATGATGATGATGATGATGACGATGATGATGATGATGATGATGATGATGATGATGATGATGATGATGATGATGATGATGATGATGACGACGATGATGATGATGACGATGATGATGATGATGACGACGATGATGATGATGACGATGATGATGACGATGATGATGATGATGACGATGATGATGATGATGATGACGATGATGATGACGATGATGATGATGATGATGATGACGATGATGATGATGATGATGATGATGACGATGATGATGATGATGACGATGATGAAGGACGTCATGCACGTTCCTGAAATTAGGAAGAATCTTGTTTCTGGTTTCCTTTTAAATAAGGTTGGGATTAGTCAAACTATAGGGGAAGATTTGTACACCATCACTAAGAATGGTATTTTTGTTGGGAAAGGGTACGCCACGGATGGCATGTTTAAGTTGAATGTTGATTTGAATAAAATTTGTCCTTCTGTTTATTTTCTGCGTGATTTTAATATTTGGCATGCTAGACTTTGTCACGTTAATAAGCTAATTATGTATAATGCAAGCAACTTAGGCCTGAACCCTAAATTAAATGTCAATGATTCAAATAAATGTGAATATTGTAGTCAAGATAAAATAATTAAGACATCACATAAATCAATTATAAGAGAATTTGATCCCCTAGATCGTATACACTCTGATATATGTGAATTAGATGGAACTTTAACTAGAAACAGTAAACATTATTTTATCACTTTTATTGATGATTGTTCTGATTATACTTATGTATACTTAATAAAGAATAAAAGTGAAGCACTTGATATGTTTAAGTTGTATGTAACTGAAATTGAGAATCAACTTAGTAAGAAGATTAAGAGACTTCGTAGTGATAGGGGAACTTAATATGACTCTAGTCTATTTAATGATTTTTATAAAGAACATGGAATTGTACATGAAACTAAAAGAACAAGATTAATTCTGACCTATCTTAAGAGTTTTGATGATAACTAAATTATATTTAGGATAATTTATGCTCTGATGAATGTGTTTTGAATGTCTTAGTTAATGTTCTGACAGAAAACATTCTAAAGTACTAAGCAAAGATTATGAAGAAGTTCTTTGATTAAAGAAACTTCTATTCAAACGCATCTGCTGACTCTGGTAAGAACCTTTATTTGTTAAATGTATCTTCTAACTTCTAGCAGGCTTCTTGATTCTGAAGATAACTTGAAAGCAAGCGCTGTTCAAAGTTCTTAGCAAACAACGCTCTGATCAGAAGTTGAATGAAGCATGTTCTGACTTAAAAGACATTTGGAAGCAAATTCTGAAACAACGTCTAGATCAATTTGTCTTGTCAAAGCAAAGGAAACACGTTCTTACATTCTGACGTTTGCTAATTAATGAAAAGACGGCTGAAAGCACTCAAGGGCCTACAACTAGTTTCTTGGAAAATGGAATATTGCAAGGATACACGCAAAGCATTTAATGCTCTCCATTTCCTCTGAAGGCAGTAACAGTCTTATTATTCCTACTATAAGTAGAAGGACATTTATTGCAAGCTAACAACAACTTTCAAACAAGAAACTACGTGAAAGATCCAAAAGCTCACAAACTCATAATTCATACATTTTTGTGTATTATATTCTAAGTGAAAAATCACAGTTGTGATATAGCTTGATTAGAATCAAACTCTATTTCATTTATCTGTAAATATTATACTCCTGTATTTGTTCCTTGAGAGACCAAGTTTGGTCAGATTTCTCAAGCAGACTAGGACTAGATTTAAGTCTTAGTGTTGTTAGTCACTTGTAAGATTACTTGTGCATTGTTAGTCACAACAGTTGTTGTGTGATTGTAATCAGTTGATTATAGTGGATTAAGTCCTTGTTGAGAAAGGCGAAATCACCTTGGCGGGTGGACTGGAGTAGTTTGAGTTCAAACAAACCAGGATAAAAATAACTGTGTTATTCCATTATTGTTTGAGCTTTGTATTGAACACGAAAAGAGTCACTTATTCAACCCCCCCTTCTAAGTGTTTTCTTACCCCTTCAATTGGTATCAGAGCTTGACTCTGAGCTCAACACTTAACCGTGTCAGGAAAAGATCCAGAAGAAAACACAATGGCCGCTGAACAAAACAATAGTAGTTACAACAAACCTTCAGTGTTTGATGGAGAAGATTTTGAGTACTGGAAAGATAGACTAGAAAGTTTCTTTCTAGGTCATGATAGTGATCTTTGGGATATAGTCTTGGATGGTTACAAACATCCTACAGATTCTGAAAGAAACAAAGTGGATAGAAAAAATATGGATAGACAACAAAAAGCTGATTTTAAAAATCATCACAGAGCTAGAAATATTTTTTTAAATGCTATCTCTAAAGTAGAATATGAAAAAATCACTAATAGAGATACAGCACATGACATGTTTGAGTCTCTCAAAATGACTCATGAAGGAAACGCTCAAGTTAAGGAGTCTAAAGCTCTGGCTTTAGTTCTGAAGTATGAAGCCTTCAAAGTTGAAGAGAGTGAGTCTATAGAAGCAATGTTCTCTAGGTTTCAAACTCTGATCGCTGGTCTGAGAGTTTTGAACAAAGGGTATACCAAAGCAGATCATGTGAAAAAGATCATCAGAAGTTTACCCAGAAGATGGGCACCAATGGTCGCTGCCTTCAAGGTGTCAAAAGATCTTAACAATGTATCTCTGGAGGAACTCATCAGCGCTCTCAGAAGTCATGATATTGAACTGGATGAGCATGAGCCTCAGAAGAAAGGTAAGTCTCTAGCCCTTAAATCAATTAAGAAATTTGATACTAACGCTTTTCAGGATGAAGAAGAAAACTCTGAAGAATCAGCTTCAGAAGAAGACGAAATATCTTTGCTTTCCAAAAAGATCAATCATCTGTGGAAGCACAGACAAAAGAAGTTCAGGAACTTCAAGAAGTCAGAAGATAAACTAGAATCTTCTGGACACAAAAAGTCAAACAGAAGAGAGATCATCTGTTATGAATACAAAGAACCTGGTCACTTCAAAAGTGATTGTCCAAAGCTTCAAAAAGAAAGACCAAAGAAGAGATTTGGAAAGAAGAAAGGAATGATGGCAACCTGGGATAACTCAGATTCTTCTGAAGATGAATCTGGTTCTGAAGATGAAAATGCCAACCTAGCTTTAATGGCTATCACAGAAAATGAATCAGACTCTTAGTCAGAATAAAGAGAGGTATTTTCTGAATTTTCTAGAGAAGAACTTGCTGATAGTTTATCAGAACTTCTGGAAAACTATAGTAAGCTCAAAATCAAATACAAGAAACTCAAGAAGAGTCTTGCATCTGATTTTAAGAAACTTGAAACAGAAAAATCTGAACTTTTGGAAAACAATCTTAAACTTGAAAAGGAAATTCAAATTGTTCAAAAGAATTTTAGTTCAGAGTCTATGTCTAGTTCAAAAGATATTTTGAAAGAATATGACTATAGCTTTCAATCTTTTCTTGCTAAAAGCATAGACAGAAGCAAAATGGCTTCAATGATCTATGGAGTTAGTGGGAAAAACAGAAGAGGAATTGGATATGAACCTCCCAAAGGGAAGGAGACATACATTCCAAAACCTGTTGCTAAAATGAACTTCACTTACAAACCTCTGAATAAGCAATTCAAGTTTGGACACTCACATGATATAAAATATACATCACATTCTGGAAACTCTTATGCTAACCCAAAAGGACCCAAAAAGATATGGTTACCTAAGGATAAAATAATATTTGTTGCAGATGTCCTTAACAGCTCAATTGAAACACTAGTCATGGTACCTGGACTCTCGGTGCTCACGACACATGACGAGAAAAAGGTCTATGTTCCAAAGCCTGGAACTTAAAGCTGGAGGAGATGTGAAGTTTGGAGGTAATCAGAAAGGGAAGATTATTGGTTCTGGAACCATAGGAAATGGTAACCTTCCTTCTATCTCAAATGTTTTATTAGTAGAAGGATTAGCTCATAATCTATTGTCCATAAGTCAATTAAGTGACAATGGCTATGACATTATCTTCAATCAAAACTCCTGTAAAGCTGTAAGTCAAAAGGATGGATCAATCCTCTTTTCTGGCAAGAGAAAGAACAACATTTACAAAATTGATTTATCAGATCTTAAATCTCAAAACGTCAAATGTCTTTTGTCTGTTAGCAATGAGCAATGGGTATGGCACAGAAGATTGGGACATGTCAGTCTTAGAAAAATCTCTCAACTAAATAAATTAAATTTAGTCAGAGGACTTCCCAATATAAAGTACAACTCAGATGCTCTGTGCGAAGCATGTTAAAAAGGAAAATTTTCAAAACCTTCCTTTAAATCTAAAAATGTTGTCTCTTCCTCTAAGCCATTAGAGTTACTTCATATTAATCTGTTTGGGCCAGTTAAAACTGCATCCATCAGAGGCAAGAAGTATGGATTGGTCATCGTTGATGATTTCAGCAGATGGACATGGGTAAAGTTTTTAAAACACAAGGATGAGTCACATTTTGTATTCATTGACTTCTGTACTCAAGTGAAAAATGAAAAAGTTTTTAAAATCACAAAAGTTAGAAGTGATCATGGTGGTGAATTTGAAAATCATTATTTTTAAAAATATTTTAAAGAAAATGGTATTGTTCATAATTTTTCTTGTCCTAGAACTCCCCAGCAAAATGGAGTTGTAGAAAGAAAGAATAGAACATTACAAGAGATGGCCAGAACCATGATCAATGAAACAAATATGGCTAAGCACTTTTGGGCAGAAGCTGTGAACACAGCGTGTTACATTCAGAATAGAATCTCTATAAGACCTATTCTTGAAAAGACTCCCTATGAATTGTGGAAAAACATAAAGCCCAACATTTCTTATTTCCATCCTTTTGGATGTACTTGTTTTATTCTAAACACCAAAGAAACTCTGAATAAGTTTGATTCCAAAGCACAAAAGTGTTTCCTGCTTGGATACTCTAAACGCTCAAAAGGCTATAGAGTATACAACACAGAAACTCTGATTGTTGAAGAATCAATCAAAGTCAGGTTTGATGATAAGCTTGGCCAACCACAGCCAAAGCAAATTGATTTTTCTGTAGGTACAGAAGATCATCACTCAAACTCTGAAAGTTCAGAAGCAAAAGAAGACGTAGAAGATCATCCTCTTGACAATGCTCTGAACAATCTCAGAATCTCTGACCAACCCACACAGAAAAGGTTTCCTAGAATATCTTCAGCTCACAAAGAAGACGTAATCATTGGAAGAAAATAAGATCCCATCAGAACAAGATCATCTCTCAAAATCAATGAAGAATCTTTGTTTGGTT